ACGTATGTGCTGAAACGAAGACTACAATTGAACTCATTATTTGAAACCATACTGACAATGTGACACGTTGCAATTTCAAATAATTTATTGTACGACCGAATACAATTAACGAATGAATATTAATTGTTTGAAACGTTTTAATTTTTGTTATTTAGGTATTTCTCCCAGAGTTTAAATATACCAATACTAGAATGATACGAGTAAATTTTTTTGAATAAATCTAGTAATAATGCGGATGTCTGCGAGGCATTCGCATCAAATATTTTGTTGTCTATACAGTCTGTTAAAAAAACGAACAGAACACATTCAAGGCACGGATCAGTGTAATCTAAGTTCATTCCAAGTTTATCTGCATATATCATTGGAATACTAAATTTATTATGAAATCAAAGGATTTAGTATTTTCGTGTTTTCATTAATATGTTGCCATTGGATACCGATACTTAAATTAAATACTTATACTACCTACTATATCATCCAACTCGACAATTACAAATTCGTGCATATTGATAATATACTAGTAATCCTCGGTTCACCGTGGACATGATTTGCATCTGTCTTGTTCGTAACAAAGTGGCTAGAGTTTTAACCCACTACTTAATATTTATAATGATTGTGTATATGAACATTTGTATTCAGAAATACTTGCGAAACTTTATTTTTTACGCGGTATAGTATTATACGTGTTAATTAAGAAAAGTGTTAATCGAAGTTATATTTGAAATTGATTTTAATTAAGTTTTCCAAAACATTCTTTAAAATTTCATTCTTGTTAAAAGTTTGTTTGTTATTTAGTCTTACAAAAAAACACTATATTGTTGGACGTTTTGTCTGAATCAGGATCGTTAAATACATGGTGAGGGTTAAACTTTTACGAGTATGCTGATGACGTGGAAATTCTTCAAATTTCCAATTTGGACACATCGGAAATTAAACATATTAAATGTTTCCTGGACAAGTAATTTAGATAAAACTAATGTCGCTGCATTTCGTAACATGGTTCTCTAGAGCGAGTTTATGATGCAGGTACAGGTAACATATTATAATTATCTTGAGTTTTATCCTGGTTGCTTAAAACGAAAACCAGGCGTTATTTCAGATACAAATAATGAGAATTACCTGTAAATAACCGTTTTTAACCATTTGATCATAGCTCCCATGCTATGGTATGGCAGTGTGATTTGTGGTTGAACATACTGTGAAGGGATTTGGGGAATACAATTAGATTATTGTCGTTTTTACTTGGTGTTAGTGGTTGTGCAAATGAAGAGATGTTAATGGTGAGCGTGGGAGCGTGTATTTGTGTCATTCTGCTATAAATCTTTATTTTTATTGGCCAAAAACGTCGTGTTATGCAGAGTGGCTGTTATCCTAAAGTATGCTCATAAACGCGGGCCACTAGGTATATCTTTTTTTAAATATAAGGTTGTTGTGTGAGTGCAAGCATGTTTCTTAGAATATTTTTCAGAGTGTGAGAGACTGTTTTCAGGGTTGGTCAGCCAAAATCAACAACGTTCACACTTTAATCCTTCCTAGAACCAGTAAGAATGTTCATCCCTATAAACGCATTTTATTTCTGTTGTTCAAATCACATACTCAAGATTAACACTGGTAGACATGGACACGTGGCACTACGTAATCGTGTATGTCTCTTATGTATTATCTAGAATATTTATGTGTTGGGGATGGTGTAATATTGTTTGAACAATTGTATGTAATAATTCTTTAGTTTTTCGTAAAAGCCATAGGCCCATCTCAAACATGAATAAAATATATAAATAAACTAGAAGGCACTCCGAGATGCAAACCTCTGCCACATATTTCAATTACCTAACTTACGCATTGTATTAATTTGCGTTGTTATGTTTATCATATTCACATACGCTTCAAATTACTTTGATTGGTTCTTGCGCAACCTTCTCAAATGTTATGACAATTCATCCATAACTTTTATTCAGACAATTGAAAAAAACTTATGTTGGTAAAAACATAACCTCCGATTCCATGAATTCCTTAAATTCTACGCTGTGACTGGTGTAGTTGTTGTCAACCGGAATTTGAAATTTATGAAACATTCATCTCGTCATAAAATTCACAGTACAGGTGGATGTATGGTCAAACTGGCAAATCTATAGAGGACAAGCAAGTAAAGTGTAATTCTTCTTCTATTTCTAAGAAGTTACATAACAAGTTTTTTTTTTCAGCATTCAAACCCAAATTTATATCATTTTTTCATATAATAATCCGGATCTGATATATGAGTAATCTCTGTATATAAGTGTCCAAAATATAAGATAAATTGATACAGACAAAAAATATATTATGCTATTCAGATTTCTATGTATCGGGTATTTCGCTTTGCTTGTTTACGTTAAACTAAAATATTTTGGATTGTGAACTTACACTAAATATGAATTACTACTATTATTATATTAATTTACAGTCTATTATTTGCATGTTTCGGCATGTATGTTGCACGAATCGCCGCTTTTAATTGAGATCGAGGCTTTTTTAAATGTAAAAACTGATAAGTACCTAAGCTACTTTTGCTGACGCAATACCCACTGAACTTTGCTTTCAATAAACGTTTATTCTGGACTGTTTCCACATGGACATCGTCCAACTGATAACTCCATCCACCATAATGACATAGATAGACACGTGTCAATCAAACCAATTCCTACTAGTTTCGCGTAAAACAATCGAGTCTACAGGTCATTTATCATTTCCGACTAGTAGTTACTGATAACCTCGATTCTAATCAATCCTGTTTGTCGATAATCTCTTGTTATAGAACTGCTCATCATTTTCGGACATTCCACGGACATATGTCGTCATCCCAGACTGAATGCGGACGTACGATACATCACAGTGTATCGTCGCCTGTATGCTCCGAAGTCCGCACACCTTTCTATCATTGACGTGACCTTGTATACTATTGTGGTATTGCTCTACTGTGTGTTGTTTTGGTAGTATTGTATGGATGGTGGCTATGGGCTTATGTACTGTTTACAAACGTTTTGGATCAGTAAAATGATGATTGATTATTTTGTTGATTGATTGATTGTGTCTGTAGGCTGAACTGCTGTCGGATACGATTAGAGAAAATGTTTGTTGAGCAGTAGTTTTTATTACGAAAACAACATGTGACACATTTCCTATAGTAGAACCACCACTTCATGTAATAATTGAACAGATTTTGATCACATTGTATTATATTCATGCTGTGATTACTAATAACGATAGCAGGAGATTTTGTATCGAAAAGGTCCCCTACCTTACGAAGTGCAATGTTTTAACCCCCCCCCCCGCCCTCTGAGATGAAATATTTATTTTCCGTCGAGTGTTTGCATCATCAGCAAGATTACCTAGTCAGACGGCTAGCTAATGATATAACGCAACACGAAATGCCATTACATCGCTGAACTGAGCTGAGCTTTATATGTTGTATCCACAGCTGCCGTTACAGAACAGAGGAGGGATTCAGACCCTGAATATTTCGATTAGTAGTACAGCTGCCATCTCATTTGATGCGCATATACAACTAATACTAATATGTTTGCTTTTAATGTGCCCGGTGTGATGATAGTCACATTTCTGGGTCTGACACGTTGGCTGGGTTTCGTTGGGGTTAATCATAATTCATACACAGCTCCCACCTCTAACCATATTAGAGTGTATACCACGAGGCTGTTATTATTTTGCTATTACGGATAAGGTTATTTGCCGTTTGACCCTTGTGAAAGGCTGCCCCACGACCATTGTTTGCAAATGTGGAAAAGATGCTCTTGTATGCGCTTATGACCATGAACTGAGACTAGGGGGGTCAAACAAAAAATTACACTCCCGTCGGGGCTCAAAATATTCATGAAATTTAGTCACAATGATGATATTACTAGATTTGTTTATATTATTACATTTCTTCTAATTGTCATATGACGTCATTGCCTTTATAAAGACAACAAATTATATATATATGATGAACTTGGTGTCCTACCAAGTCCTGTTGACTCCAAGGAAACGGCACACACGCCATTTGCTAAAAAATAAATACAAAAAAAAGGCGTGGACTAGCTCCGATATAGTATCGAATTAACCTGGTAAAAGTGTGTAGTGGCCGTTGAAAGAAATGTTTAGCTTATAATTCCCACACTTTGGGAATATGACGTGTTTTTTTGTGATATATGCCCTTTGTAATTATTTACATAATACTGTCACTATATTAGTTGTATTTGTACATACTAACATACTGGGTAACTGCGGGTATGCTTGGTTGCCCTGCAACTCTATACACATTAAAACGAGACTTAGTTTCTGAAGCCATGAATGGGAGAATGTATTTTTCTATTTCACATTATTTTTTTAAATGCATTTCTTTTAAAATATTAATCATTACACATTGCCAGTGATACTGATAGTTCGAGAGAAGTATCGCCAACGAATAATACAGTTTTTTGCCTGTGGTTATTTTATAATAATAATACCACCAGGTAAATCCATTGTGTATACACTTAATAATATTAAGTTACAAGGAAAAAATACTAATGCAACTTGAAACGTACCGCATAATCGAATAAACTTTTGAGCGTTAAGATTGCCCACCGGACAAACATGACTTTCACAGGATATAAGCAAATTAACCTATTAATGTTATGCATAATAATCCCGTCTGATACAGGAAGACCTGTAGGGCCCCGCCATTCTGTATATGTCCCGCGTTCAAATATTCATGATCTTCGGCGTTTGCGCATGTACGGAAGCGAGTTTGTCGACACAGACATGCTCAGTAGAAGTATTTTGTCGACGGGATTCAGCCGAAGGCATTCAATGCAAATGAATCATTGTGCACCATTTAAAAACGTGGGATTTCGCCACAGCAGTGCGGTGACATATGTGTTGAGATGCAAATGACATGAGTATGGGCTCAGCCAATCAAAGCGGTGTGTCCAAAGTCTAAGCTATGACGTTTAGTATTCATTTGTTCAATTGTACATGAAACAACAATGCGTCGTATACCGGGTTCACCCTCCTCAGTTGAGTAGAGAGACGGACTGCTCGGAACGTCACCACCGTAGCTAACCACCCGAAGCCGCCGTTCGATAGTCACAAATGCTTACCAACAGTCCGCCGACGGTCAATAGGTGTCGCGTACATAACAGTGGCGTGTGTGATCGGTGGTGAGTCGGTCGCTGAGAAAATCACCATGAAACTTAAACAACGAATCGGGGTCACGTCGGCAACTATACTGCTATGTCTTCTACTTATGGTTTGTATGGAGAGTGGTATACGTCCATTATCCGCCATACGTAATGCTGTGAGAGGGGGGAACCTGCAAGATGATGAAATTTTACAACCAGGAGGCAAACTGATTGACAACCCGAGAGTACATATCATACGAAAACAACTTGGGAAAAGTGACTCTGGTAAGGGGTCGCCGCTCACTGGTGCTGTGTTGAATGATAGCAATCAACGGCCACTGAGTCCTGAAGTAGACAGTAGACAGAGTGTTGTTTTCGCAGTGAATAGGACTGCACAGGGCGATACATTACCTGTTGGTTCGGACACCAACAACATCACCCAGAGCATCAAAACACAACATGCGCTAAATTTGGACGTACTATCCCAGCAACACCCGATTGCGAAAGAAGGGATATCGTTTTCGGAACCGCTATTTGCTGCTCTGGGTAAGCTTAAGGAACGGGCACCGATTGTGCTAGAGACGATACCAAACACCGGGAAATACGAGGCGTTTTTTAAAACTGGTCCAAATTCGAACCCAACGCCGAGGGATGCAGAACCATTGCTGAAACCGTACAAATCTAAGTGAGTATACGCACCAGCCATGGTCATATCTTAACGATCAGGTCGCTCTAAGAGTTCTCAGTTGTTATCGGAGATAGTCATTATCTTACTGATGACACATTTTCATTACGGATCTGACCTCTGAAATGAGATACAAGTTCAAATGCGCCCGATATGTTATATTATATGTGATCACCTGTGGCAAGGGTTGTGTGTATTAATGTTTGTGTGTATTAATATGGATGTTGGCTTACGAAGCTGTGATACACATGGCAAGGTTACAATCGTTTAATATTTCCGTTAGGTCCAGAGAAGATCATGTTTTCCCGAAAAGATCAACCGCTTCTAAAAAATAAAATAAGAAAGCTTTGCCATATTTAACATTTAAATGAGATAGCTGGGAATTAATAACACGTCGCGATGTACAGGCATTTTGACCCCTGACCCCCCGCAACATGTATCAAATGGACACTCCATGCTGATGTACCATGATATTTATTAATAGTATAAGTCGCATACAAATATAAATATGCTGAAATATCTGCATACGATTTTAGCGAATTTGACTTCCTGTCTGAATTAACAGAACATTAATTTAGCTAAAGTAACAACTATCTCATTGTGAGAATACTTTCTGTTATTTTAGCTGCACTTCGAAATAGCGAAATTACAGATTAGCTAAATTAAGGTAAAATAACATTTTATCTAAAAAGACATCACTCAGTGTGTGAACGTATCGAGATTTACGCGAATAGTAGTACATGTATTCCCTTTATTTTTTAATTTAAGGTGAACAATTTATTGAAATATTCTCGTTCGTTTTCACTTCACACATCCCACGCGAATAACACCAGCACAGACACGAGCTCGAGCACATTTTTTATATTCATCAATCACCCAACTGCTACTTATTGACAACGTTTTCATACCGTCTCTTTTTGTTTTTTATTTTGACTTTTTATGTTATATAAACCCACCACAAAGTGCGATTTATCGAATGTCCTTACAATGTTTCTAGTATACCACCTACCAACGTTTACACCCAAACAAGTTCTACCATTTTTATTCCAACTGTCAAGATCGGATGTACACACAGAAGCGACTGTATTTGCCATGAACAGACGTGGGCGCCATCTGGTGCACTAAATGTGCCAATAACTTGAATAAAAGATCATGACAATGCAAATCAAATTATTAATACAAGCATTGACATTGCAACATTAAAACAGCAAAATGACACTACTGCCTAATGTAATTTACGCGAGGTTTGCAATATTATCAGAAACCGACGTCCACTGCCTTACAGTCCGACATTTTAAGACTGTGCTATTTCGTACAGGATGGCGCAATTCATAATATATCCGCCTAGAAAACGCTGTCTGGACTTGTCCTTCACGGTGCGCTGCGTTACCATGTGATATGCTACAGTACAGTGCAATACAGTACAACTTCAACATCTTTCCTACATTTCAGCCCCATCAGAGAACACTTGCAATGCGCATTATCACCGTGTATGATTTATATTACTGGAGGAATAGTATATAATTTTTGAAAATGCAAAGTGATTAGAATTAATTTGCTGGTAATCGACAGTTGCGGGAGGTCATCAATTAAGTTAATACGAATACGTGCATGTTTCTCGGTGCTCAGGGAACTGACATCGGGATAGACCTAACCCTTTAATGTTAATTTAATTTCCCTAAACGCAAAATAGATAAAACTATTTTAAAGTTGAGGGTGAGCACCACTGTAATGTCGCTTCAATCAAAACTGATCGAACGTACTCGTGGTGTTACAGATTATGTATGCTAACGCCAGTGCTTGTTCGACGCCAGCTCGAGTAGATGTGGAGGGGACTAGTTGGTAACCATAGAGACGATCATGACTGGATAATTGAAGATGACATTCATCGTCGATCGTAGTCTCTAACCTTCAAGTGGTGCCTGGTTGTTTTCTTGACGTATTCATTGCACTCGTACGGAACCCAGATCTCCAATATTTACACGCGAGTTACTAGTACTTCCGCCTATTCCACAACAAATCCAATACGGTTATTACCTTATTACAAGGTTCCGATCCATATTTTATGTCTTAATGTCATAGTTCCTTTTGGTACATGATGCGTCTCCGATAGGCTACTGACGTCACGTACTTTGTGTGCGCTAGTACTAAATTTGCATATGGCAGGCATTGTTCTGGTGGTACGATTTACCGATGACTATCAGGGCACTTGTTATTTTCTCCCCAGCGGCTGGCATTCAAACACAGCAGCGTAATATAGCACATATAGCCAGTGTATGAATCGTTTTAGCGCTAATCTACATCTAAATAATTATGGGCGTTCACAAAAGTTTGTTTACCTCCCGTTTTTTCATGAACTCAGTTCCAATTGTTTACTGTTAAAAACAAGGTGTGGTGGAAACAAGTGTTGCTTCATACAAGTATCTGTTTGGGTAGTTTATGTTTCTTGTTGTTATGCATTTGACATCTGAATACAATCCTGATGTTTTGGTTACCGCTTACATAGTTACAACAATGTGTATCGTTTCAAATAATATTAATTTTATTAGATACTAGGCAATTCCCGGGCTAGACTATTCATAAACATCGTGGCATTTTCTTCTTTACAAGTCACGATGTCCGTAGTACTAAGAAACGCAGTGTCGCTCACTGTGTCTTTAGGCCTTGCAATATGCCAACGAGCGTTATGCAGTATAAATTATTTATCATGCAACTGACTACCATGGTTACCTGGGGGTGATAGACTTAATATTCAGACCCAGTCAAGCATGTCATTTTCTTTTATATCGATTATTACAACTGACACTATAGATATATAGAACTTATTGATCGTAATGTAGTGTTCATGGGTGGTAGACGTGATAATTCACCTTCCATGTGTTACAGTTTTACGTGATACGAACATACTTGGTTTTGCGTGTTTATAACAAAGCCAGTTCAAACAGCTGATTGGCTGCCCTGAATTGCCAGCCATTGCGTATATATAATTCGATATATAATTCGTTCTCCGCCCGTCCGCTCGGAGTCATATTTCAGAACCCCCGTGGTCCATATCTCTTCATTCTGTGCATGTGCCTAGTACTTTATGTGGGGCATATGCACATGCAGAGGTTTACTTGATTTAATCCAAGATGGCTGACTGGCAGCCATTTTGTTTTTTGAAAATGTGGTATCTTATGCATGCTTTGTTAGTTTTTGATAAATTTTATACATATCAAAGTTACAGATCAAAGATGGCTGACTGGCAGCTTTTTTGCTTTTTTACCATACTACTATATCTCCAAGGCTTAATAATCATATTTGGCACATACATCATACATATTAGAATACATGTCTATTTCAGTTTGTTTCTTAATCAGATCAAAGATGGCCGACTGGCGACCATCTTGCTTAATTTAATTTCTGACCATATATTACGATTTTTCTGTTTCTACTAGACCAGCCAATTATTCACTCTAAATTATTAACTATGCCTTTGGTACATATTACTTTATTTTTGGCATGAATAACCTTTCCCCTATTTTCAACGGGGACTACTTCATCAACAATGACTTGTTTTTAATGTAATGCTACAGACCACGCATGACAACCTGGTGAAATTAAAGCAAACACTCTGTACTAATTTACTATTATGTTGATAATTTTTTTACAAAGTCAGGACGTGCTACTGAATCGTACGCCATTATATCGAGGCACTATGATGTTTATTCACGCGGAAGGCAAACACGAGATATGAATATATTATGTATAACGTATTCACATTATCGATAACTCAGAAATCAATTCACCATGCTACCACCTGTGTCATTAGCTTAATATACTCGTGTATTCTAACACTGTTATTGGCGTCAAAGCACGTGTTCAAATTTCTCGTGGATTGAATAGAAATTAGTTACCGTCATGAAAAGTGCTTTATTATATGGCCCATTTAAACTAGAAACCTTGTAGTAACAGAACACTTGAGTGAGATAAGATGGTAAAGTTTTTGAATAATCGCGAAGGGTATCTGTCACGATTATCACAAGTATTGTGTTTATATAGTATACTGTCTACGGTTTAACGTGACGCCAACATTTCTTGTGGTGGTGACAATAATGGTCCTAGTATGTTTCGAAAATTTGTTGACGAATTTATAACTGATAAAATACGAAACACAGTGTCAAGCTTCTTCTGTAGATGCACACATAAGCATACATAATTATCTAGATATGGTATAAGATTTAATTGTAAGGAACACTGATTCAAATATATTATGCTTGGTCAATATGTGCAACATAACAATATTGATACATAGAAACACTCACTGAATGTGTATATATGTTTATCGCCTGGTGTCTGTAATATCACTTTGGTTGCATATACAGATATAATTAATTCCTAGGACAAATATGGATAAATTGACAAGACCAAATTCACTGTGTTCTTATTTTACCCCATCGTTTTTTATTGTGTCGGTTCGTGATGTGACTGTGGAACGTTGGAATTCATGCAAAGGCTATTACGTTATATTAGGTGCCACTTTGCTCAATAAATGTCTTTGGGTTGAAGGTCGTGTGTCGATAATCAGGATAATGGAGTAAAATAGAATTTACACGAAAAGATTACAGGTCCTTCTGAAAATAATGAAAATGGTTATTTTTTTTCTGTTTATCTGTGGCTTAATCTCTCGAGATCAAATCGTAGCCTGCGTCACTGGTGATAATTCAGTTCACTGACCCTGTTTTGTTTAACTGTTCTCTGTCACACACAATGCGTGGTTTAGTATTTAACTATTCCTGTCCCACGCATATGCACTCACGTGCACGCACGCATGCACGAGCGCGCATACACGCACGCAAAACTGTTTCTATATATGATTACATAACGATACGCGGGAAATGAGCTCATGTTAATACGTGATTGATTGATTGATTGATTAATTGATTGATTGATTGATTAATTGATTGACTTTTTTTTGTGTTTGGTTATCTTATCGCCATTAAAGTAATTACATTAATAAAGTCGTCTCCGTTTCCGAGCGACATAATTGATGTATTTTATATTATGGCATAGCGCTAAAATCTTCGTATTGTCATATGGTTAGTTAAGTGTTATTGACTAAGTGTTCGCATTAGACGGAGCTGCCTCACAATATGCTGGTAGTAGCACAAGCTGTTTACTATGTTACTTGAAATAATAACGAATAAATTAAATAATCTGACGTATGCGCAAAAATTATACTGGCAGCCGTCGAATTTACTGTGCAGTGATGCAGCCTTGGCACAAGAATATAGAAGTATATATTCATATTCATTTATTTATAGATTTGTTCTATTTTATAAACAGTGATATTAAATTTAAATATGTCAGTTGTGTTTTTGTAAGAGAGCAGGTCTGTGAATTACGTTACAGCAATATCAAAACAAATTAAAGGGCAGTGATCGTCGCACCGCACCATGTATGAGACCCATAGCGACATATGGAACGCGTGGAAAATGCAAATGAAATACAAACACCGCATTTTAACTTTTTCACCACCAGTTTCCTCGTTTTGTCACAATTTCACAAAATAGTCTCGTTTATAGTCTGCATTTTCCTTCAGAAGAATGGGACAAAAATATACATTCTTTGAGTAAAAACTGAAAAATGACTAAAATATTGTCTATTGGCTCCAAAATTAAGGTTCATTTCCAGAAATAATGAAGAATATAAGAACAAAGTGCAGAACAATTTGGGAGAGATAGTCTGGTGGTTAAAATGTTAAGAATCTTGTCACGAATTATAACAAATATAGATATTACATTCGTAATCATAATCACTTTTGTATACTCGGTTCATGTCATGACGACTATTATACATATATTAACAATGAAAATCTCCAAGTTTACCATAATATCCCATACCATTTGTTGTAAGAAATCGATTTAGAATATGGGGTTCTTAAATATAAATATTACTTAACATAAACTGGAATTATTCAGCGAACAATATCAATTCATGTCATGGTATAATACATGATTTTCCTGCAAGGTTGTACACTGGAATATCTGTGTTGAATACGCTGGTGCCCAGTCTTGGATAGTTCACCGGTTTCATAGCAAACACTATACGGCGCGACCTGTATGCACATCTGTAAACGTGTTGACACACGGAACCTGTTCGCAGTCGAAATATAATATTCCGTTCTATGTCAACTGTATTAATAATTACCCGCTTTGACACTGTGTAGGGTGTATTGGGTGCGGCTACCTCAATTGCACATCCATGTAGTCTTTAACAAATTTACACAAAACAAGTTGAGAATGGTATAAAAGATCTCAACATTGTTTTTTTATTTCTTCTCTTATTTATTTCATGCTCACACATAGAATTTTGAAAAGTTCTAAACGGTAAGTTGTTGACCTTTCATTGTCCATGGCGTGATCGCTGCCGTGTACACAATGTCTCCTTTGTCGTCCTTCAGACACGTACGTGCACGTAATCATGACATGGTGTGTAACAATCGAGACTTTAGGGAGAATCGTCATTGGATACTTTAGTTCGTGTCGAAATAATTTATATCATCCCCTCATGACAGAAAAAGATAGGTATCATCTATGTCGTGGATATTTGCCACCACAACTTGAAGGACTTTCATTTTAACGAACATTAGTCAAAATCCAAAAAACAACACAATGCACAATACATTCGAAATAGATTTAACATCTCCATTTGCTTCTTTCGAGTTGCACGCCATGGTATGAAAAGTAAATTTCCTGGTTACGAAGCAACTGTTATATTCAAATAAACTAAATATAAATATACTTGTATTATATAAGAAAAAATGCTGGTATGTAGATGTGGGTATCCCCCCCCCCCCGAGTTAAAATGGAAAGCAAATACTGTTAGTTGTTTTGGGACAGGATGGTATGCAACATTAGTGCATGACAAGAGCACCCCACCTACTTTATCAATAGACATTAACTACACGAACACTATATTGACAATAGTAAGAGAATTTAAACAACAGGGGCTTTGAAGTTGTTACACAAGTTAGTGACGTCATTGCAATATGACCTTTGACATACTCGCACTCTTCAGT